ATGGGAGTCGTATTAAATAGGGGGAACTTAGGAAATACACCGACCATAGACGCATTTGTTTGTCTTTTTGCATGTTAGAAACGAGTTGGCGACACTAAGACTGCGAGATAAGGTTTTTGTAGCAATAATACATGACCTTTCTCTTTCTAAACTCGCTACTCGGAGGGAAGTCGCTGTCATATGCCTTGTGAACACTCCGATAATGCCTCTCCACGTTACCTTCCTTTGGCAGAGCAACGCTTGCTTTACAAATAAGGCAAATAACCTTTGAATGTGACAATGACATCACAAAAAAATATTCTTCCTCCCATTCTGTGTGGAAGTGATATGTCTCCAGCTTTTTGATCGGTCCCGCACTCATTTTGTCGTTTGTCTCTTTAACTCAATTTGAGTTTTCCCGGCACTTGACTGATTTTGTATCGCTTTGCATTCTGGGTTAACAGACTGGAAAGCGATAGGTCGCTTTTTCTGTCAATCAAGTAAACTCCTGAATTAAGTGGCAGGGAGGCCAAGGGAGGAGGGATCAAAACCTGTTTTGTCTATTTTAACGAATGAATGACTCGCGATCTACCAGCATTGCCCCCGCGGTCGACTGGTCGACCGCGGTCGACGTACTGGGCACCTCTGCAGTATGGAATCCTGTATGTGCATTATTAGTTTACTTTACACATAAGGATGTCATGTATTTGCAGGTTATGGCACAGATAACCATACAGCAGTGGTACATACCTGATTTCCATATTGCATGGCCACTTTTACATCTTTTGTGGAAACTGCAGAAAAGAGAGAAATGCAAATTAGATATTTCCTGGGTAATTACATTAAAGACTAAGATGCTGGTATTATATTATAAAATTCTGACCTGCAACTTGCTGAAGCTCCTCCATACAGGCTCGTATCACAGATCTATAGTTTTTACTGATGCTGACAAATCTAAGGAGGAAGACAGAGACAAATCATTGAATGAAAAATTTCTGCAGGTGCCTATCTGCCTTTCGTAACAAAGCTTTAATTTGTTGAGAAACGTTACAGAGTGACATGCCCAGGAAGGAGCCATCAGTTGGCCTTACTGGGGTTTTTTGTTCTTGCTAGGGAGGTCTTCTTTAATTGTCTGCAGGCCAACAAAGATGTGATGTGACTCATTGAAGAGTTTCCGTAAAATGGGGGAATATATGTCCTCATCTTTCCTGACCTCATGGATGAAGGAGCATCCTGATCCTTTGGCACCTGAAAATACAGAGTGGACAATCAATAACTGAGTGATATTAGGTAAGAGAGAGAGACAACATACAGACAGGCTTGTCTTAGTGCCTACACATACCTGATGATGCTTTGTAAAGGGTCTCATACGCAAGGATATCACCTGGACCCCAGGCAAATCCCAAGTGCTTCCCATAACTGGCTGCAGGAATATTCTGTATTTTAAATGGGAGACAAAGTCATTAGACTGAAACAAGTGATCAATATATTAAATAAGAACTTAAACTGTGTTTTGTTCTTGGTTTTTTTAAACATGAAATTCCTCTCCAATGCATGATTCTTTATTGTTGGACAGTTGGACATTAGGCTAGCACAGGCATTATAAAACCTATATGTGTCTCAGCCACAATTCTGCACATTGGAGGGACATTTCCAAATTATCAACTTTAACTTGATTGTATTTATTTATTATTGATATATTGATTATCAGTTAATGAATCAAACCTGCAAAATCTAGAGTAGTAAAGATGGTTACAATATACAATACAAGATTAAAGAAACAACATATTGTGTTAACTAACATATTATTTAATTAATGAAGTTTATTACTTTACTGTTGCAGCTGGCAAGTTTATTTTTTGTATGATTATATTTTGTTTAGCTAATATGAATGGAAAGCAACTTGTAACTACAGCTGTCAGATAAATCCAGTACAAAAGGTTTCTTCTGAAATGTGATGGTAAGGAAGTAGAAAGTAACAGAAAGTAGAAATGCTTTAGTAAAGTGCCTCAAATGTGTTCTTATGTTATCGAATAACTAACTAGCTTCTATCACTGTCATCTTTGCTCTTGCTTCTTTGACACCGTGTTCCACAGTTTTAAGAAGTATGTATTTTTTGTAATAATCTTTGATGACCCGACACACGTTGTGGGGTTTTTGTATTCATTATATCATATCCCATTAATCTAGATCAGACGTTTAGTAATGTTGTTGCGATACAGTTAGCTTGCTAGCATTGCTATCAAGTGGAAGAAAAGAGAGAAGACTGAGCTCGTGCAGAAACTTACGGTGATGGCCGGCTCAACGTCCAACTCCTCCATCAGGGAACTGTATTATCGACCCAATGAAATGTAAATAACTAAACTATTCAGTTATAAACACTCCACGCCATGAACTACAGGTGCCGTGCTGCTTACGCGCCTCGGTCATTCATCCGAAAGACCCCCGGCGCAAGTGGTATTACGTCACGGCAGAGGTGGCCTTCCTCCTGCCTGTTTTTCCATCTGCTGTGTTTTCTGCTTGTGGTGTCGCTTTGGTTCTTTTTTGTTATTCACGAACAAACATACAGATATATCCTCCGTGTTCGGTCACAAACACAATTTGTGATTTGACTTTGTGCAACTATATAGGTATATTGTATGTAAAGATATTTATTTGACATAGTTTGGTCCATCTTCATCATCAGACAGTAAAAAAACAAGATGGCCACTGATTTATAGGGTTAAAAAGACGGGGATATGTGCAAATACAACATTCTCAGTATAATGTCCTTTATGATTAAGATGAATGAACCATAATGAACTAATCAGAGGTCAGTGTGGTGGTGGGGTGCATGTTGTGGGATAACTGAACCAACAAACCGCACAACAAAAAGAAAAACATCGCTGTGCGCGTGCACGTGGTGCTGAGTATCCCTGTAACGCGCATTGAGACTCTCCCGCCCATGGCCAGACCGCGCATTCACCCATGTGATCACCGTTAGCCATTCAGAGCCCGGGGCTGTGGACGCGCACTTGCTCGTGACCGCGCACGTTCCATTCGAATATTTTAACCGGAAACGAGCACGTGCGCGTACCCGTATTCTTTGTGTGGCAGCGTAGAGAAGCGCCAAAAGAGTGACCATGGCTGATGAAAAACCAAAGGTAAGTGTTTTTTACATTTTTCCAAAAATATTTTGCTAGATATCTGGCATAGGGGCGAATAGAAAAAAGGGGACATTTTTCACATGTTCTGTTTTACCTTAGTAAAGTTGTGAGCTAAAATTCAACTATCAGCTGTACCTACTTTGATAGACCGGAAGGTTTGTGAACGCGCATCCAGAGGCGCGCATTTCACAGCCGACCAGCTGGTGTCATCTGTGTGTGTGTGTGTGTGTGTGTGTGTGTGTGTGTGTGTGTGTGTGTGTGTGTGTGTGTGTGTGTGTGCGATGAAAAAGAGCGAGAGAGATTGAGTGGCTCATCATTTAAATCCTATGTGTCCATTTGTGCAAATGGCAGGAAGTTTGTAGCAGTGTTACAGCGTTATGCCATTACAACTGTTGTACATTATTTATTTCTTGATATATCAATACTTATATTAGCCTGTGGGTAACTGATTGAGACAAAATGTAAACAAAGGGAACATTTGCCTCAGTAAATGAAAGAAAAAAAAAGAAAAATGCAGCCACTCTGAAGTAAGCACCTGTTTTCATTTAACCAGTTAACATTGGAGGCTTCATCTTATTTTATTAATCAGATTCTCATTTGTTAAATGCAAACAATGGTGACAGTTGCTGATCACAAGAGAGACAAGAGTTCTTGAAAAATGTAAATATTCTGATCTTAATTACATAGTGAAATCATTATCTTTGTTGATGTTCTTATTAATCAGCTATTGTTTACTCCATGGCTGTGTTAATTGTTTATTTTCTCTGACTTTATCCCTCAGGAAGCAGTGAAGACAGAGACCAACGAACACATAAACCTGAAGGTGGCAGGTCAAGATGGCTCTATAGTGCAGTTCAAGATCAAAAGACACACACCGCTCATCAAACTCATGAAGGCCTACTGTGATCGACAGGTGGGCATGACACAATAATAGCACAGAAAACAATAGCTGTTCAGGATGGTGTTAAAGGTTTATTTCCTAAACCAGTGGTCACAAATTAGTGCGTTGCAATTTTCACCTCATACAGCACTTATAGCCTATCATTTTCTGTTATACTGTATTCGTAAAGAATAAATATTTCTCTCTTTTGTACACTGGTCATTTAAGTCTCTGATCCTTATAAAGATAGCTTTGATATAATTACCCTCACATGTTTAGCTTAGTATCCGTCATAAAGACAAATATTCCAGGAGTCGATTATATACTATCCAGTCCGTTTCTTTCCTTTATAATTAGGCTGTTAAGCATAAAAGGTGGGTATTTTAAACACCACTTAATTAAAAAGCCAATATATATTATTATATCTTAGGTAAGGTTTGAGTTCCTCTGAATTACTTTTTAACTGAGCTCTTGTTTTAATACTGCATTGTCTGTAATGTGTAGAAACTGTCCCCCTTGGAATTGTAATCCTTTTGAGGTGAAAAGCTGTAGCACCTGGACTAATATTCACACCTACTTCATGTAATACATCCTCTCGTGTGGATTTTTGGAACAATGTGTTGGGTAAATGATACAGTCCCTCTTGCAAATTCTTGACATAAATCCTGCTCTCTCCTAATTGGCCTTTTTCACTGGCTGCCTACCATTTAAGTGTACTATTCAGTAATTCAGTATGCACAAACCTGGGGAACTGTGACTGGCACAGCTAAATATAATGCAGCCAATATTAGATATGTAAATATCTGTTTTCCATATTATGAAATGCAATTTTTTTTGGGCCATTGTTAAGACTTATCAAAGCAACATCATTGATGTATGAAGATGTTTAATCTTGTTTAAATACAAAAAAAGCTAAGATAAGAGTTATTTATGTTCAGCCTTTTCACACGTATCACTCATTCATGCAGTGAAAGAACTATTGTTATACAGGATACTTAATAGTGTCCATTGAATCGAGGTTGTGTCCATGAGACAGATCATATACAGCATCTAGCGACTATGCTGTGTGGTTAAAGGTCATACCTAAAATAAAAGCCAGATGGTTCTCACTAACTTTTTATTACTGATTCCTCATGGTAATGTTTCTAGTCGGTTTTTTTTTCCGAAAGAGTTATTGTTTTTTGTTTATGAGCAATGATCCTGGTCTGCTCTGTGTCTCTTTGATGCACATCTTCCTTCAATAACTGAACACAGCCTAAAGGCTTCACCTTTCTCTCATCGCCGCCCCCAATCAAATGCTCTTATCTACCTGTCTGTTTGAAACTCCATGTTAATCACAAAAGTTGCTTCATCTTTTCCATCAGCAGTTATCATCATTTGAAGTTGTCCTTCACCACCGTACTTGCTGTAATCATATGCAGGAATGCTCACTTGTTCTAATTAACAGTTGGGAAGAGTGCCAGTTTGGTTCCTAAAATTGTTCTGTAATCTTGATAGCAACTCTGATTGCATGGCTACAAAAACAATCCTTAGGGTTTGATAACTTTCATATTCTGAAGCATCTGAAAAGTTAATAGAATATCAAAAGAAATGCAAAGTCTGACAATCCTCTTTGTCTGAAAGTCAAATGAGGGTTCAGCTCTCTGGAAACTCAATGATGTCCATTCCTTCCACTGCCAGCAAAGTAAAAGAGACATGTTAGTCATGCAGCTCATTTTCAAAACTAGGATGAGAACAGATGTTTTTCATTATTTCTTTATTTGTGTTTCACTGAAAAAGATTGTATAGCTCAATATTGTTCTACCACTTTGAAACTACAGCAGGCTTACCTTAAACAAGGAAACACATGCTTTAAGCAATTATAATAAATAGAACAACTTTAAGAATTCAACTACATGTTTTATCTGATCAATTTTTCTTAATTAAAAAAATAATGCCCCTTTTCATTTTTGTATTAATAATATATGACTGTTATTTAATGATCTTGTCTGTGTTTCCTCTTGTGTTTTTTTGTTTTGTTTCCAGGGACTGTCCATGAGGCAAATCAGGTTCAGATTTGATGGACAGCCAATAAATGAAACAGACACACCATCGCAGGTAAGTGTGAAGCCTTGAGACAATTAGTGTAGCTTGTTTGCTTGAACATCCTTCAGACGCTTCCATGTGTCAAAACCATAGGTCAAAACCCAGCTCGGGTTGCATGCATTTGTGCCGTCCTTATCAAGCAAATATGCACATCTCAGACATTCTTTTGGAAATATTCATAAATGGATGGAAATGTAAACAGTTTAAAAAGTTAAATGGGCATGAGATCCCCCCTCAGTGAGCAGTATGTTGTAGGAATGTCTGTAGGCTGAAAGCCGACACACACCAGATCTTTGTGTTATCATTTTTGCCGATACACTGACATGGAAAGCATCTAGATGCCTCAGGCTGTCAGAACACACCAAACTTAATTTGACTTGCTGTGTTCTCCAACTTGTGTTGAGGAGACACAACTTCTATGTTATGGCATTTTATTAAAATGATGTGGAAGCCTTGCTCTGCACACTATGGTTATCAAAGCCTAAAACAAAGTTTCATTTTCACTGCGATGGTACCATTTTGCCTATGCAAACAACACATTTAAGTTTTTACATAGAATATTCCCAGCGTTGAAAAACACGGATATTAGTTAGCATGTTTGCGCTTCTGGTTTACTATAAGGTCAGTGAAAGTTATTTTATGGAATAGCTTGCTGAAAAAAACCCTGCTGTAAGTATAATTAATGATGGTTAACAACAGAATGTATTTTCTTGTTTTTTGGATAATTCCAAAACCCAATAGAATAAGCTCATTGGCCTTTTGTCGAGGTAACCAGTGTCCTGCTTCAGGGTTAGTGTACAAAAGCACATCATGCCTGCAGCCAGTATTGTGTGGGAAAGAGGTTGCACCCAAATTTAGGCTAATCAAAGTCATGACTCATGTTTATAAAACTTTTTCTCTTAACAGTTGGAAATGGAAGATGAAGATACAATTGACGTGTTTCAACAACAGACGGGAGGCCTCATTTAATCCACTGCATTGTTCACCATTTTCCTTTTCAACACAACCAAGCTTTCCCGCCTGCGAGACACAGCGACTGCTTCTTTGACACTTGTCCTGTTGTCTCAACAGATTTTCATGCAGAAGAAGTTGTCCTTTCTGCTACACAAAACTGTTGTATAGTATTTTCAAACTTGCCCTTGCTACATGTCTGTTTCTGTACATAAACCACACCCAGGTCTTGTTTGTTCATGCTGTGTTGTGGACAATGTTAAGGACTTCCTCTCGCAAGGCAGCAGACAGAATGAGACGAAATACAACGGACTTTTTTTATGAAATGTTGTTGGGCTAGGCTTGGTTGGTCTCCAGAAAATCTGTTCTCAAACATGTACTACTTTGGGACTGGCTATCACTTGGGGGACAGTGCACCCAGTTTTGGGAATGGGGCTGCATTTTCATTTGGTTTCTGTTATCTGAGAAAAACTATTTGATTTTTTAAATGTTTTTATAGTAGTGAATGTGTAGGAAAATGTTTGATTAATCGTTTGACTAGGCCAATATTCACATTTTGGGAAGCCTTAAGAAGTTCTCAGTGAAATAAACATCTGTATTCTCTAATAATAGGCCTGTCAAAATAAAAATATTGTCTTTTACCAAACGTCTTGTCTTTTTTTGTGTTTAACTGTGCAAGACCAGATAATACTTTTGTTGCATAATTAAGAGGTTTTTTTTACCAAGGACCCTTTGAAACATTTAAAATGTATACAGAGCACCACCTCATTTATGTCCCATGGAATAACTTGATTAAGCCTATTGTTACCCTCCTAAAGTCTTGGTTGTGTTAAAAATAACACAAGAGAAAATGGATTTGAATCTGAGAACTATTGAACGTATTTACAGATTTATGAGATTAAGTTCAAATACATTTTCTAATTTATTTAGTTTGTTTCAAATGCTTTTTTGTTTTGGGAGGGAAATATGGTAGGGTTATTTCATTAAATACATTGAAAACGTCATAGACCTTAGGGCAGAGTGACACAGCTAACACTGAATAGCTGGACTATTTATTTATGACTAAAGGTTAGTCCCCATAATCTTCACCAGTCGGAGGTCAAAAATCATCTCTTTTGTACACCTTACACTGCAGTTTTAAAACATTTTGCAGGTTGTCATGATCAATGCTAATAGATTAGGTAGCATGAAGAAAAGGCCTCAGGGATGTGGTCTCAGCTGTCTGAAGCAAAGACCTGCCACCAACAAGAGAGGCTGAGGTTCAGTCCAATCAGAGATGAGTTTGGTGATGTTCTGTCCAATCAGAGACGAGTTCTATGATGTTGTTACCAATCAGCGTGGGTCGAACGCTGGTGGGCTGGGTCTGGTGGGCTGGCACCGCAGAACCAGTGGATCTGTTCTTCGTTATGATTTGTCAGTGTCGGGTGGAGTCTATATCCCGTCGCAGCTCTGCGGGGAAGGAGGAGGACTGGACTGTTTTTTATTAGTTTCTTGTCATTCACTCTTTCTAAACCGCCGAGGCGTCGACATTTATCGATAAAGATGACGACGACAACCACTTTTAAAGGAATGGAGCCTGGTTCTAAAAGCAGTTCCAGGTAAAAACGAGCTGAAAACCTTTCACCGAGGAACAAAAGAAGTGTGATGCGGGCCAGCCTCTCTGCTAGCAAACGCCTCTGTTCTTCCCAAAGGGCAGCCTGCTACCCAACGTTAGCCCGCTAGTGGTTGAGTTTAGCTAAACTGTCATAGTCTTGCTAATTAAGTTAATCTTATTTGGGGACTGATTCACTACACAGGCGTTAGCCACACTACGTGAGTTAGGCTGTAGCATGGCTGGGATTAATAGTACATCGATAATGAGGCGTGCGAGTTTAAGAAAGAAAAGAAAGGAACACGGAGTACAATAAGGGGTGTTTTCTGTATTTAATTTTTCGAGAAGAATCATGAAAGCTACCTAAGGTTAGCCTGTCTGCTTTACTGGCTGTGGTCGACCTCAAAATAACTTTTGTTGTTGCTCAAGACACATCTCTTGTCGTGCGGTAATGTCTAAATGTGATGTTGTCTGAAGTAGCTAATTTTACCATATCTAATATTTTTCCTGTCTCGGTTTGTAGTATTTTCTCCAATAGAGGAGGAAATGTACATCACAGCGGTCCAGATATGAGATTGATTGCAGGAAGAATCCTAGACGAGACATGGGTCTGCATATGTCATTAAAAAGGATATGGCTCATTGTTGGTTATAAAATGGAAGTTTAGAGAAGCTAATATCCATTTGTAGGCCTAGTTTCAACACGCATGTCTAAGCTGTTGCCTTTGCTTTACAAACAACATCTGTTAAATCTTTTTATTCCTGGTGAAACACCTTTTTTAAGAGGGCCACTCATCCTCCAAGCATGCAGTCATAGCTTCCCAGTAAGTGATGCGTCTCGTCTGGATGCCTTCCGGGCCCTTTGCGGTAAAAACAATGCAGAGAGAAAGCCTTACATGTAATGCTGCCTCAGAAATGGGTCGTCAATTAAGGACATGTAGGACACAAAAATGAGAGCTATCAGCGTTTTCATATAGAGAGCTTGTCAGATCTCGGTCAGTCATTAAGCGTTTTGAAGGCGCATGCTGTTTTCGGATGATGCGGAGACTTGGGTGGGGGCTTTGCGCAAGCTAAGCCTGTAAATCTTTCCTTGGCTCCTCGCTTTTGCTCCTTTTTTAAGCCTTTTTTTACGAGATGCTGTTCATTTGTGATGCTGGCCGACCAAAGGGATCCGTAGAGCAGCTCCTTGAGCAAAATGAGGCTAAATTCTTAGTAGGCCATCAAAAGCCTCCCACCCTGCCCTATCAGACAGGCCATCTTTGACTGTGGAGATCTGCCCTACTCCCTTAGCCTGAAGCTGCCTCCCCCCCAACCTCTAAACATTTATGCCATTTCATTGATTTTATTAGCAGTTTCACACTAGGGTGGGGTCTGCTGCCAGGCAAAAGCTTTTCGCCATTGCAATCCATGTGGAAAGCATGAGCTCATCCTCTCTGGCCGGGAGGTGAAGTCTGGTTTAGGCATTACTGTCACAGCCAAGTGTGACGAGCACTAGTGTGGACACAAGAATTGATTAAGAAAATCTACGCCAATGCAGTCCATGCGGTGTGGCTTGCCCTCGTGTACTTTCTTTTGTAGCTTTCCTTCGAGAGAGAGCTGACTTGTTTTTTGTACCCCATCTGCCTGCCTGGCCCTTAGACAGCTGCTCTCTGTGCAGCTGGTGGCTTCAGGGACCCTGAGAGGAGAGGAGAGTTTGCTGGAAAAAGAGGGAGGGGTCCGACAGGGGCTCTGCAAACACACCAGTATTTGTGGTCCACCCCAACTGTCCTTCAGCACAGCAAGGAAAAAGGCTTTCCCTCCTCATTATCGTGTTCCTTTTGTGTAGCTTGTGGAGAAAGGAATGTCGGTGGAAAAGCGTTTTGTTTACCAAGCATTAGTCTGCATGCAGGTTTCTATATTGTTCTAGAACAGTCTATATATTAGGTGACCTGTATTAGCTGCACACTTTTCACCTCTATTGTTTAATATTGACCCAAGAGGCGCATTACATTTCATTTACTAATTTATCAATGGTATAACAATGCTACCAGGAACTGACACCAAGCCACAGTGTGTCACAGCAAAGGAATCTGTGCCGAGGAGAGGCAGCAGCTAGCCAGCTCACTCTTTGATTAAATGCGACTGGAGTCAGCTGCAGGGCAGAGATTGTGGCTGTCTGTCTGACAGGCTGACAGCCGGGGCTTAGAGAGCGGAGACCTTGCTGGTAGCCAGTGTGTTGTAGTGAGTGTGTGTGGTATGGGGTGGAGTAGGGAGAAGGCTGTTCGTAGCTTGAGGCGTCCTCATGTTATATTTGATTATTGATTTTGCACTGTGCAGCTGATCAGTGGCATGTGGCAGGAAGGCCTTGTGTTTGCATAAATAGTGGGGGATGGTAGCAGGATATCAATAAAATTATAACCCATCATTTGTTGCTCCTTTAGGGTACTACGACCGCCAGGCGGGGCCTCCAGCATCTCCTTTGGCGCAGACGAAGACTCAACCCCCCGCAAGGTGGTCTCCAACATCTTTGCAGAGCCTGAGGACCTCCATGCTCATCGGAGGAACAATCCACCCAGTAATACATCACTCTAACATATCTTAATTCATATTCCGCGTGAGAAAACCAGAGCCAAAGAAATGCAAACAATAGGGTTTGAGTTATTAGGTAACATTAACATTGTGAGGGTGTACACGCACTTCTGTGTGGACAACTTCAATCTTGTAAAAGTAGACCACCAGAACTTTAAAGTAAGCAAAAAGCGCCACGGTCTTAATTCTTCTTACTCGAGCGTTGAAAAGATACAAATTGCAGTGTTATTAAGTGTCTTTCCATTTAGGCTGTCAGAAAGCACATCCCACAAGTGTAATAGCCAGAAAGAACTGGAGTGCTGGGATAAGTGTAATTTGAAACTAGGCTTTGTTAGATGTGGATGGGCATCAGCCCTTAATGGAAAGAAATAGGTCAGTTTAAAAATGTGTCAAACTGAGAAACGTGTGGCCTTTTATAGACACGGGGGAGGTTTTATTTTGAGTACACGAGGAAAGGAAGGCAGACCCAGCAGTACGAGACCTGTGAATGGCTTCGAGTTGTCAAGGTCACTGCAAACGTTCAGCCACAGAGGCTTGAATAAAACATTTCTGACAATATTGTGCTGACACGTATGTTTATCATAATAATCCAGGTATTACTTTTAGGCAAATGTGATTCACTCTTTATTATGCATTATATATATTGCTTGTAATGAAGGATGGGAATTGGTAACAAGTAAGTTTTTATTCGATTAGGGTTTAAATATTTAATGATGTTCTTAAAGAGGAAGATGCAAGCCCTACAGCAGCAGGACTCGTTTCAGCTGGAAGCCATGAAGTTACTCACGAGCCGGGGATCACATGCTTTCACACTGGACACTTTGTGGGAAACAGTTTACATGCTGTAGCTCATTTTCTGGATGTGTGGACAATGAAGATTGTCCACACATTACTCCGTCCTTTATGGACAGCAGCTGGGGACAGTAAAACCTTTTCCTGCTCTCATTGTTTCACTTGGGCCAAGTTCAGGGGAGCCTTCCCATAGCATGGTTCCCCAAAATCCTTGAAATCCCTGAAAGTTTGTGAGCTTGAAACTAGACATGGGTCATTGAAAGTTCTTGAATTTGTATATATTTTCCAAGAATAGAAGGTTATTTTGATATTTTCGTTTACTTTAAAAATGGCAAATATTTGATTTGCGTTGTCGCATCCTGACTGAGGAGATTGTTTTTTTTTTATATATATATATAATATATATATATACATCCCTTTTTTTGTATACTCTCCTGCAGTACTTATTTATGCTCCACCCCTGATGAAGCTGTTAGCCTTGATTTAGTAAAAAGTCATTATTTCATGAAATAGTGCAACCTTGGTGTCGGGATACTTTTTTTGCATTTACCATTTTCTGAAATTAGAGTTGGAAATGTGAATAATTACAATCGCTGTATAAGAATTCCATTCTTGTGCAGGATTTCCTGCATCTGTAAAGGGAAAACATTTTCTGACCAATCAGTGGTCTGCACGGTTTTGACTCCACCTT